TTTGAAAATATGAGCATATTGAATCATCTTTTCTCACCAAAGAGTCATTTTACTATTATTATTTTTTTTAGTTGTAACCAACCCATATCAGAGGCTTAACATTTTTAATACTGGTATTTGTATTCTCCTGTCATTCTTTATATTTCAGGTTTGTGTATATACTATTACATATATAAAATAACAGCTCAGTAACAAATGCTTAAAACTTTTTTGTGAAAGAAATTTGGGAACCACTGTGATAGAAGCTGAAGAATAGGTTGATTATAGGAGTCACAGAAATGGCCAACTGACCAAGGTTGGTGAAGCAGCCTGCTTTTCTGGCTCTGCCACTCATAGTTAACTTATCTTGGGCAACTTATTTTACCTTCCTGAGTATCATTTGTGTAAAAAAGATATTACCTAATCAATCAGATTCTAGTGAGCATTATGTAGATGTAGGTAAGTGATGGCACATTGAACATATTCAATAAATGCAGCTAAAAAATCACCTTTGGTATAGCAAGATTTAATACAAAAAAGCCAAAGCTACAGTTCTAAAGAACATAGAACAATGAATACATTATTTTAAGATAATTTGTCTCTATATCTGCTCCTTAAAAGTCTGTATTTATTGAGGACAAGGGTTCTGTCACAGTTACCCCTCTAAAACCAAGAGTGTTGCCTGGTACATAGATCTCCAATAAATATTCCTATGAACATGAGTGGGAAATAAAACCTAGAGAGAAAAGGGGGGTACACTGGCTTTAGTTTCCACATTCTGGCCATTTGGAAAATGCCGGGCTCCACTAAGAGTTCACCAGATCCCATCTGGGAAAACCAACAGGTCTCTGCAGATGAGGCTGAACCCCAAAGCAGACAGGAGCCAAACAGTGGCCAATTGGTTAACTCCTTTTGTGAGTTCTTAGCCTTTCCATGTTATAAGAATTCACAGTGATCAGTTATTTTTGGCTAAAGCTAAGTCAAGACAACTGTATGCTGGACAACAGCCTGCAGGTAGTTAGTCTAGGGAGCAGACATGACCACTAAAGGCAATCCAGTCCATGAACTCTGCGTCTGACTGAGCACAAGAGATGAAGTGTCAGCAACTCTGACCACTGCCAGCCCAGCTCTGACATGACTCACAAACATATTACTCATCTCATTCTCACCTTTTTTACTGTCCAGTGGAACTCAATTTTCCTTTAAAAACTAACCAAAAGCCTAAATATTTTCATTAAGCTTGTGAATGACCACTAATTGCATTGCATTTAGTTAAATAGGCTTCTGAATTATTCATGTACATTGGGATTTTTTTCCTGCTGCTTTTTGGGAAGGCATTATCATCAAATTTCATTAAATTTACTACATGAAATAAATTTTTCTGATGATAAAACAATCTTATTTTTCAATTCTAATAAAACCATTTTACTGATTTTTAACTTTGAGAAAAAGTACATGCAGCTCTGTAAAACAGCAATTTCATGAGTTTCCAAACTCCAGGCTCCTTTATAGCTCTATTTGGCAATTACAGAGATTTATATCCTGTCCTCGTCCCCCACAAAAATGCAGAGCTGAGCTGTCTAGTTGACTTAGAGACTGACTTAGAGGTCTTCACATTCATTATCTTCAATAATAAGCTGTTACACTAAGTTAATGATTTAAAACTAGTATATGTTTGAGAGTGGAAAAAGGAAGTTTAAAACTAATTTATGGGAACATAATCCACTGGTCATTTTCACGTTTCATCAAAAAATATTTTAGAGGGTGTCTATATAGTAATTGATCACATTAGACTGACAGAATGTAGTGTTATTGCTTTACTAATAAGAGAAGGAAGTCATTCATCTTCTTTTAAGTCCAGACTATCAGCATAACTTGACAATTCATCATTTATTGAGAAATTAACACATTATAAAAATTATAAAAAAGAATAATACCGTGCATGTGGTTGATATTATAAGTCAAATGACATTCATATCAATACATTATGTGGTTTACTACATAGTAAAAACTGTAAATATCTTGGTCACTCTTCAGTATCTCATAATATTCAACTATAAGTATAAATTACTTTCAGTCTTTCACTGAGACAAAATAACTAATAGACAACATACAACAATCACCTTTATTTATTGATTGATTTTTTTGTCTTTTCTTTTTTGGTGCTGGGCTCGAACCCAGGGCCTCACGCATGCTAAACAATCACCTTTAAAAACTATGTATATAATATGAATTTTTACAAATCTGAGTGATTCAAGTTTTTTGTTGTTGTTATTTTTGTAGTAAACTAAGTATACTTGAAATAAAGTCACCAGGACTTCCTAGTGCAACTTTGGTGAAACAATTCTGTTTGGTTCTGGAGTTGTCATATTTTATTTATAGAATTTATATTAATATTTTAACTAACAACTTGCACTATTTAATTTCTGATAACATAAATTAATTTCTCTGTGCTTTACATGCTGGTTTTCTATAAGACTTAGATATCAATTTAATTTTTTAAACACTTGGTTTGAAAGTGTTTTCAGAAAATAAACTTATTAAATGAACCTAATTTCTAATCAACATCTACCATATGCTTAATATTTCATTTGCATCAAGATATTTTGAAATCATTTTACTGGTATTAATGAACATAAAGCTAGCATGTAAAATTATAAAATTTACAATAATAACATTAACAATCTAAAATTTAATTTATTATTAAATGAATTTTAAAATATTTATATTGATTAAGGCCACATTTTTGGAATTTACAAACCATTCTATGCACTTACATTCAACACATAAGCAATGCTACGACTACACTAAAGGCTTTGTGCTGTACTGTGTCCTTTTTTTCCTCCTGATACCTCAGGGAATAAGGACAGTGGAGAAAGAGCTAGAAACATCAGGGAGCAAGTCACCATTGATAAAAGCTTTAAGCATTTAAGGCAGATATATGAGAGGCAACTTTTTTTAATTAGAGAAATTTTATCTCCAAGAATTAGAGCTTTGGTTTTTCACATGAGAGTAAATAAGAAATACAAAATCTAAGAACATCCAGTTATGGTATGAGAGAGGAGTGAGGAGAGAAAGAGAGAAGAGAAGAAAGACTCTGAAATCAATAGAAAACAAACTTAAAATTTAGATCACTGTTAATATTTTCTATATTATTTCCCTTTGCCAATTGCCTTTATATAAACTTCATACCTAAAATTTTAAGGCTAAGTACATTGAAAATCTTGTTTTTCCACTGATGCTCCATAAGCAGGAGCAAACCCAGCTATATCAGTATCTCTGCTCTAAGGAGGTGTTTGTGGGATCTCTGTGTCCAACAAATCATTCTTATTTTATTGTTAAGCTATGTGTGCTACACTTTTCCCAAAATGCTACCTTTCTCAGAAATCTACATTTCTGCAATGTGAACTTGTAAGACACATATCTCTCTGTCATTACCTTTTATTATATTGTGCTCCTGATTTACCCTATATAAATTTATACTAGTGAACTAAGTAAGGCATCACATACTGAAATTGTATCCTGGTGACACAATTGGTATACCCATCATAATATTCCTTTAGGTCAATCATGTTTTGTATATGGGAAAATAAATGAGAGAAATTACAAGTTGCTCTTCCTTATTGGCCCAAGAAGGACAAACTAGAGATATTTCATTTTTTCTTCTACAGTCGGAGTATTTATTTGCTTAACAAGTGTCACCAGATACTGCTTTGAAAATTATGAAAGCATAGTCTTACACATCATAGCATTCTTCAGATTATGGCAATCTGTGCTCCATGAACTTCTGAATTATCTCCTCTCTTTCCTGCATTTTTAGTTCCTTTTTTTCTACCCCTCCCATCTTTAAAAAAATAAATATCTTATCTCCTGTTGAACACAGAAGGACCCTTTATTTGATCCTAATGCTACAATCTTTTCTCCTAAACTGTTTGGCATGTAGGACCTACAATTTGTTTTCATTTCTTCTCACTAAATTCACTCTTGAAACCATAGTAATTCAGGACCATCCTGGATTTTAGCTCTGAGAGTCCCAATTTTAAACAGGAAATACTCAATATTAAGCAAATCAAGACAGTTGGTCACCAAAAACTCTTCTTCTTCCTGTCATCTCTACCTCTAGTCACTCTTTCTACTGTGGTAGCTAAACTTACCTTTAATACATTCTTTCCTTCTCATCATCAAAGACAATATTTAGTTCAAATTCTCATTGACTCAACAGCCTGTTGTTCTAATTTCCTTGTGAGACTGATTCCTTTGCTTTTTTCCCAAAGCTATCTATCTAAAAGGCAAATCTGAATTTGTTACCCTGCTTCCTTAGCACTCTTAATAGATTTCCTTTGAAACTTACACTAGATCTTTCATGATCTTGTTTAAAACTTAAACTAGATCTTTCATGGATCTTGTCCTGCTATACATGTACACCCTTGTCTGTCATTTCTCCCTCCTTCCTTACTATCTTCCTCTAGATATTATTACTCTAAGAGTATGCTTCACACTTCTGTGGTTTTGTGTACACATTGCTCTTTCCTGGAATCCACCCTTTTCCAGAACACGTGGCTTGTCCTTCTTATCCCCCAAATTTCAGCTCAAGCTGAGCTTCCCAGGAAGCCATTCACATATATCCTGCAGATGAGGTTTCTCCTTGCCATCCCCTTGTACTTATATATTCTTCCATTTTAGCCCATACCTCATTTTATTACGATAATCTCATGTTTCTCTTTTCTTACCAAACTACAAGCTCCTAAAGGAGAGACACAGTAATTCCCTTTTGTATTCCCAGTGTCAGCAGAATTTCGGTCTCAATTAGTAACTGTGAATTAATGTTTGATGAAGTAATTATATTTCTTTAATGTGTTAGCATTTAGGAAGCAGAATACATAGAGTGCAGAGGCAGGATCTTGTAATTAAGAACTTAAGTTTACCCTACATTCCCTTACATACTTTTTAAGTGCGCATCCAATAGCTGAAGAGTGACTAAACTTATCAAAACCTGGGAAAAGTGCAGTTGATTGGCTTACCGTTCGCGCATCCCATACAGACAAAGTCTTGTCTGCAGAGCCAGTGAGAAGAGTGTTGGAGAAAGGAAAAAATTCAATGCTGTTCACAGAATCTGTATGACCATACAGTGTAAATCTGCATCTTTCACTGTATAAAGAGAAAACAAGAGTTAAAATTTTATCCCTAAGTATCTAAATGCTTCTGATGTCTACACATGCTAATGAAAATAATTTAATAATATGAGGCATAAAGGAATTCTATAAATTGCAAAACTTTTTACAACATTTTAAAGGAAAAAAAATTATAGCCAATTTATATTCTAAGCATTTTAAGAAATTAGTGGCATAAAATTGACTAAAGTTAAATTCTCTACAATTTAAAGAATCATGTTGTAAGTCATCTTTATGCTATCTTATTTATATCATGAAATAACTACATAAAATTGTCTCCAAATAATAAAGGAATATGTTAAGAAGAGAAAATCTTGTACTAATCCATAAAATAAACCAAACTTTTTTCCCCCAGTACTAGGGATTGAACCCAGGACCTCAAGACAGAAATTTTGGGGGGCATAATGTTTTCCTCAGTCTTATCTATTAGAATCACTGGAGACTCTTTTATAAAATATTCACATCCAGTCTCAGCCTTACAGATATTCTATTCCAATTCATCTGGGATGCACCCCAGGCATTGGTGTATTAACTCCTCTCCTGGCTATTGTAATTTGCCTTTAGGAATGAGACTATAAGCCAGTGTTTTTCAAAGTGTTTTACCCTGACTAGCGGAGTGAGCATCACTTGGGAATGTGTCCAAAATGGAAATCTCACCATCATCTCAAACTTACTAAATCAGAATGTCTGGAGTGGCCCAACAATCTGTTTTAGCGAGCACTCCAGGGGATTCTTCCACATGCTCAAGATTGAGAGCCGGTTAGCCAAACTACCAGAACTGACTGAGAAGGAAAGACAGCTGCAACTTTGCCTTTTGCCAGTTTAATACACACGGAACAGAATCATGACGACTGATTATTTTTAAGTAAGATTATTTATAAGACTATTTTCTTAAAAAGATTAGTAGAAACAGAGTAACTAAAAAAGTGCAGAGAACAGAGGAGTCAACATAAATTAATTCCTAGTATAATAACCAGTTAGGTAGTTTCTGACTATCTGATTCCTCTCTGGCTTGAGCCATATCATCGGCAACTATGCAGGGATGTGGGGCAGAAGACTAGACGGCAATCCTGGCTCTGACAAGCTCCAGCAGGATACCCAGAGCCAGGTGCTTTACTCTCAGTGGCAGATTTCCTTCCTGCGGGAATGAAATTATTTAATTTACTCAGATAGACAGCCTGGCTCCAATATTCTGAGATTCTTATACCAAAGTAGTAAATATAAAATAAAGGGGAGAAGTCAACATGAGCATGACATCTAAGAACTGTTAGGAACAAAGTTTGTGCTTCCCTTCTTAAATTTTAGCATTTTTGAAAGGACGAAGGATACTAAGATCTTTATGCATATTAATATGCATTCAAGTTGCTCAGCAAAACTCACCTTTACATACCAAGACTAGTATTACAGTCATTTATATCAGGAATAAGGAGATATAATCAGTAAATTCATTAATTAGGAACATTTACCTCAAAACTAATGAGACGGGCTGATAAAGTTTATCATAAAATAAGTTTATGATAAATAAAGTTTATGATGTGTAAATATATAATGGGATCAGAAAAATGACCTGTGATTGACTCCTTATTCTTGTGAGTAAAGTATATTGAAACATGTTAACTTGTCTGTATGTGTATATTGCTACTTTTCTACTATGGTTATAGAGTACCATAGTAATATTACAGACTGATATACAAGCCTAAAATATTTAATACATGGCTTTATCAGAAATAGAGAATATATTTCCTATGATATATACTAATAAATTTGTAGGTGAAATTGAATTTTACTTAACGATATTTAAGTTTTCACAGAAAGTTGTTAAAACGTAAAATAAATTGTTTTCTTTATTCAAAGAATGACTTTGGTAGAAATTTTAACTATTTTCTAATGATCCTAAAGTGTAAGTACAAAACATTTTTTTTCTAAGTTTATATTCCAAGTTCAATATCTTCAAGTAATCATCTTTAAATATTAGTATTATATTTATAGCTGTATGGAGTTATAGCTCTATGGACAGACAGAGAAGTAGGGAGAGGAGGGGGGACTTACAAGAAAAATGAGAAAATGATATTATTATATTAAAATTGCAAATATTAAATTAAATTATATATAAATCAATCATAAAACAAAATGAATAAAATTAAAGCCATTCCTGAATGTGGAGTAAATACATTCTTAGTACAAGAGATATCACTCTCTAAAATGTGTGAGGATTCACCACAAGCTGTTGTCAAGGGTTTATGTGGCATTTCCACAGAATTAGATTTCACAGTGCCTAGCAGAGAGTTCCTGTTCTACCATGAAAGGATAAACAGTGACACCAGTGGTCAGGCCCTGATAGAAGACTGAAGATTAATTCTAATCAGAGTGCAGAAACTTGACCAAGTACCTCATATACTCACTTTGGATTCCAGCAAAACTCCACTGGAAGAATCATGATCAGATTTATGAATTAAGTTCAAAACTAAAGTAGATTTGACTTACCAAAGAATAAAACCAGTCATGAAAAGGTAATGATAATATGCCCAAAATTACACTGCTCACTGGAACAGAACTCACTACTTGAAGTAGGAAGGAAACCTAATGTAGTTTCCCTAAATTTGTCATCCAGCGTAAATTTTTTAAATGCCACATATATTAAGAGGTTGAAAAATGCAAACCATAATCAAGAAAAACAAATAAATAGTGATAGAAACAGACCCTGAATCAATTGTTGGAAATCAAAGATGAAGACTTCAAACAATCTATTATAAGCATGTCTTAGGATGTAAAGGAACAGAGAGTTAAAATGTGTGTACAAATAGAAAAATCTAAAACATAAATCAAAATCATAAGAAAGAGAAATAGAGGGGGTGAATTTCATCAAAGTACATTATATGTATGTATGGGAATATCACAATGAAATTCCTTTGTACAATTAATACATGGTAATAAAAAGAGGCCCATGTAAGAATGGGATAAATACATGAAATAAAAAAGTTCATTGTGTGAACAAAATATCAGCTTGAATACTACAGGGAAAAAGGGGTTCACAGAATTGAACAGAGATCAATAAAAATTCTCTAATTTGAAGCACAGAGAAAATGTACTGCAAAACATATAGAAATAGTTTCAGTTATTAGTGGATAAGGTCACAAGGTCAAACATATTTATATAATTGGATTTTAGGAGACAGGTGTAGAGAAGAAGGGAGAAAAGGGAGTAGAAACATTTTTGAAGACACAATGGCTAAAATATTTCCCAATTTAATGAAAAATATCAAAGTACTAATCCAAACAAAGCTCAGAAAAATCCAAACATGATTAATAAGAGACAGACTGCATCTAAACATATCAAAGTTGAACTGACAAAGCAAAACATAAGACAAAAAAAATAAGAAAAAAATCCAAAAGTAGCCATAGATAAGAGAAACATAACATACAGGGAATTATGATACAAATGACAACTGACTTTGCACAACAAATAATAAAGAAAGAATAATGATTTTAAGAGATGAAAACTTCTATATTCAATTAAAAATACCTATAATCATGAGGATAATAAAACTTGAGAAAATTCATTGACAATAGATCTTTCCTACAAGAAATGCTGAAAAGAAGTTATTTGGACTAAATGAAAATGATACCAGATAGAAATATCTGTATGCAGAAAAGAATAAAAGCATCTGAAATGATCAATGCATAAGTAAATATAAAATACCTTTTCTTCATTTTAAAAGATAGCTGGCTGCTGTAGAAATTTCAATATTTGGAGGATATATAAAGGATGTAGATGTAAAATATAAGTGAGCAATACCACAAAATATAGGGGTATAAACAAATTTATGCTATTTTAATGTCCTTACATATTAGATGAAGTTAATATTAACATGTTACATTTTGATTAAAATAAACAATTGAGTGCTGCAACAACATGCTTTAATCTCAAAACACCTAATTTTAGTCTCAAAAAAATTAAAGATTCCAGACAAATAAACATACACATTAAACGATTCCACTTATATGAAGTGTAAGCATATTTGTTTTATGATTCCAAGAGTTAGAAAAGTATTTGCTATGTGGAGTGGGTTTTCACGAGATGAAATTTTCTATGGTCATAAAAATGTTCTATGTCAATATTAGTTTCCCTGACATAAACTTTTGTAAAATCTCACCAAATTGAAAACTTAAAACCTGCTTGTTTCACTATAGACATCTACTATCTCAATTAAAGGATTAAATATGACTTGCCAGAATGCTTTTTCCTCCAGCTTTATTTTGATAATTGGGACACTAGAAATCTTTAGAATACTTATTTCTCTGAATAATTCAATATTGGCCATGATCTTATCTCCTATTTCTTTTGCTTTCTGAATGTATGTACTGTATAGCTGCTGCATATTTTTTATTTTTAATTGGAAAGGCAAGGAAACATATAGAATTAAAAAATTAAAATCTACAAAAGATTTAACAGAAAAAAATAAGTGAAAGGAAAGCAATAAAGATACTTGAGGGAAAAAGAAGCACAATTAATAATAGCAGCAACAAAATATTATAGTATGGTGAAGATTTTAATTTGTTATTAAAATAGTTTTACCTATCACTAACAGAAGCATTGCTAAATGTAAATACCTTATTATTGTTAATTTTTTAAAAAAATAAATGAGTATGATTTTTATTATTTTTTAAAAAGGCATTTTTAACTGTAAAGATTTATTTTCTCACCTTAACATTTTTTGCATATAGACTTTGCCATTAATTGAATTAAAAGTTCTTCTGTTTGCAGACTTTAGCAATGTTTTTAGGCAAATGCAAAACCATTAAAATATATGTTTTATCACAATCTTAATCTAATAAATTAACATACACAAAGAATATATAATCTGATAATATGTATAAATGTAATCTGGTATGTGTAATCTTACACATATACCAATGTGCTTTTGGCAAAGCATTGTGCACATTCATAATTTATATTCAGGGTTTGTCTGTTGTCATT